TCTTAATTGTGTGCTATAAAAAGTGGTCAAGAAGAAAAGGAGGGAGGAACAAAAGGAGTGGTTTGAAATGGTACTTCATTTTCAAAGTAATCTTTAGCAAACTTGTTAGCTGGCTAATGTTTCCATTTCTCTTGATGACATGTTTGAAACAATGTTCTTTCTAAAGATGATGTACATCTATGTTTGATGTCCTTTTTTGATGTTATGCCTCCAGAGGGAATGCCTGAAACCTATCTTCTAACATTTGCTGACATTCACAAATCTGTTGTTTGACAGTTGTTCTTGCCTTTGAAGGACATGAAGTTCATCTGTATCCTAATCTGTTCTGAAGCTGAGTTCCTCAGCTGTCATCTGATTGTTAAGAAAGTCTCCTCCTTCTCAGGTTTGTGGTGCTGTTGCTCTGAGTACTGGGGAGGCTGCAAAAATGGCTATTTAACCAATAGTACCAGATGTTCGTAAGTGAGCTAGAACTAAGGCAAATCTATTTGTGTTTCTGTAGGCAGATACTGTTTTGATTGGTAATTGGACAATTCATCAAGTTGCTTATCTGACAGTATCTCTGAGAGAAAGGAAATGTACTCTTTAAAATCATTAGATGGTTTATTTTTCAACCCAGCAGTTAGATTCCATTGTATAAAAGTGAAGATGTAGGAAATGGAAGTTACAGATGAAAAGGCAAAATCAAATTACACAAATTCAATATTCCCACATGATATTTAAAGGAGCACAGTGCAAGCTATTCTGTATACTTAGGTTAAAAGATAAAGTTCTTAAAGGATGCCCAAAAGCTGTTTCCTATGCAAAAGCTTAAGATGTCTGTGCTCCAAACATGCAGTGTTTTACTGACACAAGGTGCTTTCTACGTATAGCCCAGGTCAGTGGTAGCTGCCATCAGCACTGACTGTAAGCATTATAGCTGTGACAGATTTAATTTTTTCATGCTGCATTACAGGTCATCTTAAGCTTTCCATTAAAACCCTGTCCCGACTCAAACTAATGCAACAAATACAAATTACAGTAATTCCTGTCAGCAGTCTGGCTGATAACAGAGGACATAACATTTGCGCAGTAATTTTTGCAGGAAATGTGTTTTCTATTTAAGTCAGAAAGCGGTTTTAGATGCTCAGTTATGGTTAGACAATAGGGTGTTACGTTGAAGGAAGATAGAACAATGGTGACTGTGGTGCTGTTAATAATATAACTGAAATGGCCAGAAAAGAATTTAAATAATTGGAGAACCTGGAAACAAAATAAGAATAGAAGCTGCTGAATTTTAGAACTGAAGAACTAATCTCATAGGTATGATGGAATCTCCATATTTTTTTTTTTATATCCTTAAATCATTAAAAGGTGTCCATGCACTGGGAAAATGGTGGTGAATACTAGACTGAGATTAAGAATGATGAGTATTTGACAGGTCTGCAAAGATACCAGGAAATATGTTTATGCTTATATATTGCCTCAGGACCTAAGAACAATATGTATTGAGATCTGGCAGGTAAATAAGCTAATTGTATGGAAGTACAGATCTTCAAAGAATTTAGTGTTTAGAAATGGATTGTGTAAGGTCATTTGCCCCTCCCAATTGAAAGTTAACTTTGTTTTGATTATAACCCTTAATATTAACAGCAAAGCTCTTACAACTGTTTAAAGCATTTTTGGTCTGTTTCATCATCTCAGTAAACCTTATTAGCAGTATCTTCTCCTATACAAATAAGATGCTCTTCTTATCATCCAGTAATCCAGCCTTCAACAGTTTCCTTCTGGTCTTGCAATGTGAAATGTCACAATGCAGAATGATGAGCATGTATGGATAGAAGACCAGATTACTTGGGAAAGGCCTCAACATGAGTTTTCTTAACACAGAACTGCAGCTAGAGTGAAGGCACATTGGTTTTGCAGAAGTTTACACTTCCTAAGCTTTTTGCATCATGCAAAAGCAGAAGCTGGAGCATAGTGCATATAGAGCATTATTTACATTCGGGTTTTCATTTATTTGATTAAGTGGTTGAAGATGGAGCAGGAGAGAAATTAAAAGAGAAGGGGAAAAGAGAATTGAATTCTTCCCCTTCCTGCTAGAATCCTCGTTCTGCTGACCTTTGTACATGGAGCACATACCTGCCCTCTGAGGAGCAGCAGTGCCAGCTCAGTGTCTCAAGGCCAACAGAAGCAAAGAAACAAAAGGCAGCATCAGCAATTGCATCTAAGGATCATACATGGAGAGCCCAGCACATGGGCCTCATCTTGTTGCTTGGGTATCTGTGGTCTAGTTTATAGTGAGACTTACACACTGGTAGACATGTCCAGTAGGAAACTAAATGTGTCCAGCCCTATTTTCTGGCACTGAGGCCAACTGGCATGTAATGAGCTGCATCCATGCTGTTGAACCCTGCAAAACAGGGTGGCTGCTGCCAAACTCCTGGTGGGGCACAGTGCCTCTGGTGGTTCCCAGAATCTGGGGTTTGCTTGGTGGGGAGCTAGCTCACATGGAGCAAGACTGTGCTAGGACCTCCTAAACAGTGTAACAGCGTCAGCAGTTCAGTGGCAATGCCTGGGAATAGGCCATGGCACGTTTCATTCCACAGGCATAACACATGCTTGCCCCCTGTGTCTGTTTTTCTATTTCTTTCTAACTAAGGCATGAATGCTGCTAAGGCAGTAAGTAGCTGTAAGGGACTGTGTGTTTAAAATGTAACTATTTACAAGGTTGGATTATTTGTTTAATTAGCCTTTTTTTACCACCTGCAGATTGTGGATCTGATCACTTCTGCAGCTAATTAACCTAGAAGTCAGAAAACCCAGATAAAGGGTATGGGGTGAATCAGAACACTCTATCCTAGATCACAAGCAAGAACAGCAAGTACTCAAAACTATATCCTTGTTTTTGCAAAGGACTATTTTAGTGTTTCTAATTGCACCAAGCCCCCAAAAGTTAACATTCCGTCTGTATGTGCTTTCACCTTACGCCTGTTTTTTTAATAAGAAAAAAGCATCAAAGGACAGTTCAGATATGAGTTCTATACGTAACCTAACCAGTGTTAGACTAAAGGTTTAAACAATGCCTGGTTTGCTTTTCAGCAGAGGATTTTTCTCAGTGCTACTAGGGAAGAAAATTGCTTTGAAATTGCTGAAGTAAGCAGTTAGTCCCTCATGGTTGTCTGCTTGTCCTGTGCTTCTCTCAATAGGCTTGTATTGCTTGTACCTCCTGCAAGGAATGTGCACAGTTAGTTGCTGAAAGCTGTTCAAATGAAAATCCACATTTAGCATGTGACCAGTGTATAAGAGAATCATGTATTCATGACACATACTCTCTCTCCTCCTTCGCTTTTCAAACCCATCTAATGGTTAACAGTCAGCAGTGGTGACTAAGGCTTGGTTAATGAGAAGGTTCTGTTGCTCTGTGGAGGTGTTTCTTTCTCACCACTGACTGCAAAGGGTGAGTCTTGGTGCAGTCTTCGCTTCATGAGAAACATCCAAGCTCATGATGCAGGAACACGTGCTTTTGTTAACTACTTTCCTGCATGCCCAGCACCCTTTCCCCAAAAATTTGCCAATTTAATGAAGAATGTTGATGATTAGTTCTTGATCTGTCAGTCATTAACAAAGACTTCTTCTGAGAGTTTTAGAGCTAAATTTTGCTAGGTCTTAACTGCATATATGCATCACATCGGGTAGTTTGAGTTTGCTTACTGCTTACATGCAGTTCCCAGGCCTCCTAGTATTACTGTTTGTGCTTATGAGCACAGAATGTGATTTCCTGTGGAAGTCTTGAATATTTGGATATTTTCCAATGGTTTTGTGGCTTAATCCAATAATCTCATTTTCTTGAATATTTACCATAATATTTGTGAATCACAATAAAAAAGAAACAAAAATATAGCTAATGCAAATTTGTTAGTTTTGTTAATTTAAAGTAATATTTTTGACAGTTCCTTGAACTGTTTTTAATACCAGAAACTAGCAACTTACTTGTAAAGGACAAAAGCCCCAATGGTGGCCAGTACTGCCAGCACACCGAGGAAGATAAAGACACCTTCTGTTTTTCTTGATGATGATCCTAGAGTTCAGAAAGTAGTTTGATTAAAAATGAGCCTGGTTTTTACAGTGAAACAAGTAAAAGTGATGTTTTCTTTACAAAATCTGATTGCTGTACAGAGTGAAGTACACTTAATACTTCTAATATGCTAAACGTTGGAGGTCAGTGACTTTGGCAGGAGGTGGTACTTTCACAGCCTAATCAGTTTAATTCTGAGTTCCGCCAGTGTGAGTTTGGTTTTGCCAGTTTTCCCATATGAGTGAGACACATGGCTGCCCTTCCAGCATGGAAGGCAATGGAGAGTCTTGCTGGCACCCCATGGGGTGAGGTTGATTTACTCCTTACCAGTGCTATGCTAGGGGAACATTTACACCAAGAGTATGGGAGATGCAGTCTTTTCATGAGCTTTAATATTAGAATCAGCTTCAGTTTTCTCTTAGAGGTGATGACCAGGGGAAAGGGGATAAAAAAACAGGTTTCTTAAATGTTACTGTTTGTTGGAGTCCCATATGCTAAGATTGCAGAGTGTGGCTGAGAGCTTTATGGACTTAAGCTTATTTACCTTATCCAAGAGCTGAGGGCTCTGCTATTTTAAAGTGCTCATTTCAGGAATGGAACTTAGAGCTCTGCCAGTTATTGAACTCTGCTCTCTGATCTGTCATCAACCATTTCACCCACATCTACTCCTAATTGCATCATATCTGATGGAAGAAGCCAAATCATTACAAATATTTTTTAAGTTCTGCTAAATATCTTAATTTTCAAGTCCACAGATTGTACCTTTATTGAATTTATGAACACTGAGATGCATCCTTGGTCTTCATATTAACAATAGTGTTTATACAATGAAGTATCTTAGAGGTGCATGTTTGCTTCCCTTTTCAGTTATTAATTTATAATTGCTGTCTATGAAAATCAAGATATCAACTCAGGGTTTACCATTTACTTGGTATATTGCTGTCTATGAAAATCAAGATATCAACTCAGGGTTTACCATTTACTTGGTATATGTGCCTCTTATATTTCCCAGTTTGTTGACACAATTCTTTGTGAAGTCTTGACTTCATTCCTGGTTTACACAATATTTTAGCTGAGACTTTGGCAAAAGGGATTTACCTTATTTTATTAATAAGGTAGGTTCTAGGGCTAGTTTTCAAAGCAACATATACTGATGGGATAAGACATACTGATGGGATGGGTCTAAATCATAGGATTCAACTCATTCAATAGCAGCTTAAGCAAGTTAAGTGCGGATGTTTTGTGCAATGCCTATGTAACCCAGGCACAGTCATGCCAGATTTCAAGGGCCAGATGTTTAGGCACCAAATACTCAAGCACCAGATAATGGGATTTCCAGAAATTCGTAAATACTTGCTTTCTCTTGAACTGAGTGGAAAATTGTGGCACATGAGAAATGTTTGCAAACATTAGATGGGCTCCCTCAGAAGATAAATCAGCAACCTCTCTTAGATCCTAATTCCGCTTTGATTATAGCGGAAGCCCCAAAATGCATCTTAGATTTACCCTCTGGAGGAAACCTAGGAAGACCAGCCTTGTTAGGCTAAAGTTAGCTTCTGTGAATACAGTGCTGAAAAATCTTGCTGCGTACTGATTGTCATCTGTAGGAGCTGGAATGCATTTATAGGTCAGGCATTGTGCCTTAGTCATCACAAATTGATTTTGGTGCAACTAAATTTATACCTAAATAAAATCAGCCAAAACTACTGTGGCGAAGGGTCAGTTGCTTGGCTGATAGTAATTAAAGAGTTCAGAAGAGTCACTAGGACATTGTCGTGGGAGGTCAGGAGAGGAATGGAGTGTGAGCAGAGAGACAGCATGATCATTTAGACTTCTGACTGAGGCTGAGTTTAATACCTGGTTCTGGTAAAGACTGCTTGGATAATCATGAGCAAGACATAGTGATACTCATCCAACCAAAGGGAAACCTCCTGTTCTGAAATAGTTAGCCTGGCCAGACTGTACACAGTCTTTCCAGAACCTGATTCATCTTTTCCTCATGTAGAAATAGAAACCTGGTCAAGGTCAATGGGCTACATAGAGGACCCAAGGCAGCCAGCTCAGCTACAGACTTTGATTCCGTCTCAAGTGAGCTGAATTCCTCTCTGTCTCTCTTATTTCTCCATGTGTGGATAGGCTGACTGGCCTGTCCCTACCTGCTTTTCTGCCCAACAGAATTATTCTGTGGAAAAATAAGTTATGGCTTAAGAACTGTTTATAGTCTGTGATACTGAAGGATTTGTATAATTACTGTACTCATTGGATCGTAATCACCAATGAAGCCAAGTTCTAATATCTGAAATTCCCATAGGGAAATAATTGTGTCTTTATCTTTGCATGGACTCTTACAAAAGCTGGTGCAGTCTCAGCTGAGGCCTCCAGGCATAACCAAACCCCCATATAAATTCCTGTGCTCTTTTCCCCTGCAGGGAAGTAACCACCAGGAGAAGCTATTCACAGATGACCCACATCTGCTCTGTGGACTCACCTCCATTTACAGAAATCAGCGCGCTGGTAAGGGCTTGACTTGTGTCATCCCCCAAGGTGATGTTTATGCAGTATGTTCCAGGTTCCTCAAAAGCTCTCCTGATGGTGAGTAAGCATTCATCGGTGATGGTGACGGGGTCACATACCACAGACTTGGACTCCTGACATGTGGGGTCAGAAACTACTGTGCAGACGTCTGTGGGGAGACTGAGATGGGAAGAGAGAAGAACACATTACATCTGTGGAGTGACCTTAGCCCAGTTTATAGACACATTGCACTCATGCCCCAGTTTTATGCTGGTGTATTTTTACTGAAATGAGTGGCACTATAAAGATTTAAGAGTGTTTTATTAATATATTATGTATTTATTTTATACATAGCTGTACATTGTGTGTGTATATATATATATCTATCTCTGTGGTTTTTTTCTATAAAATGCATATATGCAATCTGTAAAATCATGTGTTTGGTTTACATATCATTTAACATTTTATGGAGATCACAGAATTACCTGCCTCAAAACATCTTATATAATCTGTTACCTTTAATACACATCATTAAGAAAGGAATGTGGATTCTTATGTGTAGTATCATGTGCCAAAAAAGTGAACACTAACTTATGAGTGGTTAATTGTTATCCAGTTACATTACCAAGATGATTCTTGTACTTCTCAGTCCTCTCAACAATAATCCCCTTCTAGGAGCTAGGAATATTAGTGCAATGTTTTTCTATCCAAGAAATTGCTTGGACACATCCATTTACTTTTAAGTGTCAAAAAATCATAGACAGAAAGAAAGGGTTTCCTTCCAATTTCAGTAGACTGCTTCCCATTTTCCAGTAAGTGCTGAAATCTTGTCTTGGCCAAGAAAACACAGAATTGTTTCTCTCTGCTATCTAGTTGTGTTTTTTTTTTACTGAGGCTTGACATTTGTTCTGAATCCTGCAAGCCTGGCAGTAAACCCTGTTTTCATAGTTTACAAATGAGACTTGCATTATCTTTAGTTCCAGTCAAGAAATAGAAACACTGCAGTTCCCAGCTTTTGTTCATGCAGCTGTATCTAAGCACAGACTGTGTTCCAGCACCTAATTAAAGAGGGAAGACTGGCAGATTCAGTCACACACTTACCTCCCTTGGCAGGTAACAACAAAGTCAACCAGTGAGTTTTCAGCTTGACTTTCTGTCATCTGGATGCTCATCATCTGTATAATATTTACCTCAAGGATTCCCTCTGGGAGAGGAAGCAGATGTCAGTGGTAGAACACATGACAAGCTCTGAAGCCTGTATGTATGGAACATCAAGTGTTTGGCTGATACTTGGTTCAGGTCTTGTTTTCCATAGCTTTCTCCCTCCCTTAGCACTCCTCTTGAACAGTTTGAAAGCTGAGGGATTTTCCAGTGCTTTTGCTTTGGGGCTGCTCCTTTCTGCTCTATTTTATTTTTCCATTATTATTATTTAGTTATTTATTTTACTGAGCCACTTTCCTGTCCCACTCCCTGTGACTTTTGTTCATGCCAAGGTCAATTCAACCTTATGTGACTCCCATCAGGCTAGTATGTTCCAGGTGTGGCAGGTTCAGAAGCTGATTATATAGAAAGTAGTGGTATGGTGCACATCCCCACTAGCCATTTTCCAGCCTGAGTGCCTGGAAACACCGTATGTAGCATAGGGGGAGCCATCAGCAGGCATCCAGACCAGTGCCTGGCCTTGCATCTCTGAAATCAAGAGTCTATAATCTCTGCTATTTAGGTTTTGGCAGAGCGTGTAAAGAAACCAAAGTCAGCCAGTTAGCTGTCTGTGCATTAATCTCTTAAAATGTCAGCTATGTCCAGAGAAGGATCTTATTGTGGGTCTTGCGTATTTGATAAAATTGAACCTAAATAAATACTATCTCTACCATACATTGTTGTTGTTAACCCCAGTCTTCCATTCAGGTGTTGACCCATATCCTTACCTACGACAGAGATACCGCTTCTATAGTATCCATTTCTGTAAATATGGCAGCCTTCATCTGGATTATCTTCCATTGACTCGACAGTGGTAGAATAGTCTTCATTAGAAGCTGCTCCAGCAATTACTGTTGAGTTGAAGGAGAAAGAATAGATGCATGGCTTTAGAACAAGTTCTGCTTAGAGGTATTCTGATCATGGCCATATGTCTCAACTATATTCATTACCTAGGTCATTAGTCACTTTGGTTTGCAGCTGTGCAGTCACATATGTATCTGTATGGGATCACAGTAATCAGCCTTAAAGAAAACACGTGCCCAGCTGTAGAACCCTGAGGTGTTCTGGGTAGCCTCACTCTAAAAGCCACCTTGCTAGTGAGCCATCTCTGTGAAATAAAAGTGAGACTGCAAGGTTTGTTATAATTAAACTCTTCTTTAAAATTCCCAAATCAATTACAGAAGAAATCCAAAGGCCAATAAAGGGTTTAAAATGCTCTTTTAAAAAGAAGGTATTTCCTCATTGCTCTACATTACAGCTAGTGGAAAAATGAAGAGGGGAAGTGGTGAAAATTATATCTTTGCATTCATTTTTCATTCTCACTCAGCATTTTGGTAAAAGCACATGTTAAAATTCTGAAATTTGAAAAATATAGCCACATTTACAATTGAATAGTATTATAACTACCCAGCCTGAAACTGCTGGCCTTTTGCAAACCTTAGAACCACTGAGATGATAAACAAATGCTGAACATAATGAAAGTTATTTTGAAATGTGAAAGTGCATAAATTTAAAGTGGAAAAGCAGTTCTGGGATAATGCTACATGGAAATCCCATATTTTGGAATATGAGTAAGTTTATTTTCTAGTTTAATCCAATCTCATTTAGTTTCAGGTGGATGTTAATACAAACCAGAAAGGAACTGGTTAGAAGAGTATTGTGAAATACCTCTTTCTCACTTAAAACTTACATCTTACCTCAGAGGGTGGTGCTGAGTAGGCAAGGCTAAAACCACCAGACCTGGTGTGGTAGAGGGTATAAAACTAAATCTATATGTACTGCATGTCCACATGAAGACCTTATATGCTGTCACTGTGGTGGTAGAACTGGATGTGTCATGTGTTAAATGTGTAAGTGATGGCTACCATAGAATCATAGAAGAGTTTTGTAGAATCATTGAATGGTTTGGGTTGGAAAGGACCTTAAGATCATCCAGTTCCAACCCCCCTGCCATGGCAGGAATGCCTCACACTAGACCATGTCACCCAAGGTTCTGTCCAACCTGGCCTTGAACACTGACAGGGATAGAGCATTTACTACTTCTTTGGGGAACCTGTTCCAGTGCCAATCGTTTCTCAGCCTTTCAGCTAAGATCAAGTGTAGTGTAGAGTTTATGCTTATTGATTCTGTCTCTAAACCAATTTATAGAGGGTTTGCAGAGCTTTGCAGCTCTTTCATTGATGACAGTAAAACTTCTAATGGTATGAACCTAGAATATCAGAATTTAGTTTTAGCATAACTCTGAGTATCATCGCTGTTCAATAAACTCTTACCTGCTGAGGTGGGCAGTGGTGCAGTGGGTGTCACTGGCTTACAAGGTACAGGTATGATGGCTTGGACAGTTAAATTTGGAGTGAAGTTTCCTTGCAGAGTATAGGTGTGAGACACCACAGGACTGCTGGCTACAAATAAGCCACTTCCATCTCCAAAGTTCCACTTGTAAGAGATGGCAGAATTATTAAGATAGTAGCTGGGATCATGGATCTTCACATCAAATGTGATTGGTGAGTCTTTGATAAAAATGGAGTCTGAGATGTTGCGATCATGTTTTTGGAACATACTCACAGATAGTGGAATTTTGTCTGGAGTGGGGGGAAAAAAAGGAAGTAAATAATTAAAGCATACATACCTGCTGCAAACAACAAACAGCAGCAAAGTTCCTGAACAGCAACAGTCAGAATGTGAGACATGAATATCTTTAACATGGGTTTCTACTTTAATTTGGTTTACTGATCTGAGGGGTGAATGTCAGTAGGAAACAGTTACCCAGAAACAAATGAGGAATCCCAGGCATCTGTGGAATATTGCATTTCCTCTCATAAATAATTTTTCATTACAAAGTAGAGGTATCACAACTGAGCTAGATACAAAGGTCAATTACACTACTCAGGGCAATTTACCAGAGATTCCACTTTCATATCAAAAACCTTTCTTAGGCCAATGTCTTCTTTTTGTGCCAGATAATGCTTGTGCTGAATTCTTTTAACACCTAAACAATACCCCCAATATTTTATTAGAGTTTATTCTGGCACACTCACCTGTCACAACATAAATGGCACTTGCTCTTGCAATTGGAACGTATGATGAGTGCCCTCTCCTGTAAATGGATACTGCCATCACGTGTTTGCCAAGAGTGATATTTGCTGTGTTGACTGAAAACATTGCTGAAGATCGTCCAGTTCTCTGATAGTACTGACCTGAAACACAACATGAAGTTTTCTCCTTCAGACAAGCTACAAGTTGTTTTAAGAGAAGCAATATATCTGTGAATCTTGGATTGTCTAACACAAAATGAATAGTTTAGAATTGTGTTTCAGTTACTTGGCAGGTGGGTTTTGGAAGACTGAATACTTTTACAATGTGTTTACTCCCATTATTTATGTGGGGTTTTTTGAAGGTGTCAGAAACATGCCCCAGATTTCAATAATCTAAGAAAAATTAGCACCTGTATCTTTCCAAAGCAATTTTGTTACATTAAGTCATTAGGATTATGTACTGGATGTTGTTACCTCTTAGGCACTTTAAGTGATCTTGTGTTTGCACTTTCAGTGTAGCAAGAAGATATAATACCTCTTTCTTCATACCCTAGAGCCCTTTGTGTATGTTTGCTTATTTGTGTTTGTAACAGCTCTTGGGGTAGGTATTACCTCTACCTAAAATTTGGGACATTATTATTGTTACTACTCATGCTGATACTGATGATAATATTGATTTAGCCCAGCTATCTTAGGATACTAAGGTTTAGTATGTAGGCCATGGCAGGAATAGCCCAACAGTTACATTCCCAGGAGCTGGAAATG